CATCTGAATGGACTAAAGTAAAAGGTGACTCTGCTCGATTATCAAGACGCCGAGGGAAATGGGAGCGGGTATGCTTACCGAGCTGACATGACTCTCACTCTAGAGCTGACAAGTGAGATAAACCAGATAGCATTTTCTGAAGTTTTGACAAACTGGGATGTCCCAACCGTTTATGTAATAAATCTGGTGAATCAGTAACAGGACAAGTTGTAGAAGGAAGACAAGATGTGAGTCCATGTGATTTAGCAAGGATAAGGTAATAAAGTCCGTTTGATTCACGCCCGGTACCAATGATCCGCCCCGTACTGCGTTCCTGTATAAAAACATGGTCATCAAGAAATAAAACAGCGCATTTAAGTGATTTGGCTAAGCGACTAACAGCTATGAGATTAAAAGGACTATTGGGAACATAAAGGACTGAATCTAAAGGTAAGGAAGGAAGTGGGCTTGCTTGACCTATTGCAGTTGCCATGGTTTGAGACCCATTGGCCATTGTGACTTTTGGAAGAGATTGAGAATACGAAATAGTAGTGAAAAGAGATTTGTTACCAGAAATATGATCTGATGCACCTGAATTAATGACCCAAGACTCAGAGGATGAAGATTGGGAGAAACAAGTCACGCTATTACCTGTTTTAACAACAGAAGCTATCTCAGAAGATGTCTGCTTACATGCTTTATACTGAAGGAACTCAATATACTCTGCTAAAGAAACCACTGCTCACCTGTAGACGCCGGAAACACTGTAGCTCACCGGAAAATTTCAAAGTTGTCGGAATTTGTTGTAACCAGGATGGATAGACTCGGAATTCCTTTGCGAGCAAGCTGTCCTGAAGAAATATTTTCAAAAAATGGCCAGAAAGGTCACTGTTCACGCCAGAAAAATATAAAAGTGGCCAGAATTTGATTTGAATTAGATGGGTAGGCTCGGAATTTTGAAGAGAGCAAACTGTCCTGAAGAAGCTTCGCGAAAAAATGGCCGGAACCCTCGCCGGAAAAGTTGTTGCCGGCGCGTGGAGGAGCGTGGCGGCTTTTCTGCCGGATAAAATTTTAGGGGTTGGTAGTCGGAGGGTGATCTACCTCGTGGTGGTGTTGGTTTTAGCACAACACCGACAGAAAGTGACTTTCACTTAGACAAGCCTTAGGTCACCGGAAAAATTACACGATGACTAAGTTCTTTCTTCCCGGTTAACGCTGGAATGACGCACAACGATTTTTTCTCACTAATGCTCTGATGCCATGTGAGAAAGTACGGGAGAAAATATGTTATTGATATTGGATGATAAATACAATACAAGAGGTCCCTATTTATAGCTATACACTACAAGGAGATATTACTCCTCTTCCAATGTGGGACAAGACTACACTATACATATCTATAAACTAACAATTATTACATGTTGTATGGGTATAACATTCGACATGATCTCCCAAGCTTGTCTTGGTCACCTGCCCCTGTTTGTAGTAGCTGTTATATATAGATAAAAATTCCGGGCTTATAGTAAAAGGCTTATTAAGAATATGGAGGAGTTTACTTTATCAAAAAAAGAATACAGTGGATTTTATAATAGAAAAATAGATAAACTGGAGTTGCCTAGAAAGCCTGTCTGATTTGGCTGATTTTCGACCGGCTTACCAAAGAATGGAGTAGGCTACAGGTTTTTGCAAGCCTCTTTGTGCTTTATAAAGTAGTTGCACCCTTTTTTCCTAATATAATTACATTACTTCTGGGAAGGGAAAAACAAGAAGAACGAAAAGAGATAATAGGGAAATACTGTTTAACTTGACCACGTATAGACAAAAGTATATCTCTGAAGAAAAGATTTAACTCATCTTTTCTTTCTAGTGGATGGTGTTAGGCCGTTCATCATCTTATTTCGTTTTAAACAATTCATCTTCTGGTTTTTAAGTGCTTGAATTGGAGAAATTAACCGGAAAACTTGTGTAGAAATTTTGATTATGCAGTCCATCTTCATCAATCATGCTGACAAGTATAGTGTGATAAGTCCATTTCAAAAAATTATACTAACAAGTATTTTCTTGCATTATACTGTTTCATATTGTAAATTCATGTGAACATTGGAAAAGACTGAAGTCAATATTCACAATAATATGTGTGAATTTTAGGGAACAGCATTCTCATTTACAGAACGTGATCGTCTTCACATTCGTGGCCTACTGCCTCCAAACGTGATGTCTTTTGAACAACAAACTGCACGGTTCAGTAAGTCTCTATCCACACTAATGCAATCATATTTGGGCTTCTTCAAAGTCAAAATCTATGAAACTTTAGCATCTGAGTGTTATTATGGATAACTCCTGCAGCCTCTGAGTGTTCCCCTTTTTTTTTTTTTTTTTTTTTTTTTTTTGGAGTTTGAGAAGAAATCTGCAGTGTTTTTTGCAAATTGGAGATTTTCAGGATCATATGGATTATAACAGTGGATTTTCCCATCTTTTTTTTTTGTTAATTAATATGCTTAATAGTTCCTGCAATAATTCTTCTTCTTCTTCAGTTTCTCACTTTTATTAGCGGCATATACTTTCTCCTCTTCTCGATTCCAGGTAATGGATCCATTAAAAGAGCTTTGTTAAAATTCGATTCATTAAATCTTCCAATCCATTCACAAAACTTGAATCATTAAAGCAACAGATTCAGAGTTTTAGTTATGTAGGAATTTCCCCCCCAAGAGGTATGTTGGTGTTCTTTGAGTTTAACTACTTACTTTGTCAACTTTGAACCTTTTTCTGCATTTAACAGTGGCTGACTTGAAGAGGCTTGAAGTGCAAGCTAGAGATGGTCCATCTGACCCGTATGTTTTGGCCAAGTGGCGGATACTTAATCGCTTGCATGATAGAAATGAGACTTTGTACTACAAGGCGAGTGGTTGAACTTATCTTTTTATAACATTGCATTGTCTTGTATTGCTCTATGGATTGTAGTTGGAGGGATTAGGATAAGTGATCTTGGCATAAAATCTTGCATAATATAATGTTTGGTTGGAGGAATTGCGGAAAATAACCACACATAATTAATGCGGCCTTTGGTTGATCATATAAAAAATAATTTTTGCATAACTAATGCAATGCCTGGCTGGCAGTATTAGATAATACCCACTTTTTTTTTTGGGTTTACACCCGGTGTCCGGTACCTACATTGGAACTCCCACTAATTCAGATACGCGCTGCCGCGTAATGGCCCATTAAAGGGGTAAGCGTTTTCTACCAGGATTTTTTTCATTCCTAGGGTTCGAACCCGAGACCTCTGGTTAAAGTTGGAGGGATCCTACCCATCCCACTGCTATCTTTGGTGGTAATTGTTCATTATATGGGAATCTATATATTATTTCATACGAGATAAAATATGGAAGAAGAGAATATGTATTAGCAATACAAATATAAATGTATTTAAAGACAAAAATACCCTTAAAATAAGTGATCTCTACATAAAATTTCATGTATTATTTTGGTCATAATAAAAACACATTTCATGTATTATTTATCACTGCATAAAATTTTCTTCTTATTTTCCTACATGTTTTCCTGCATGAACAATCCCTGCATTATACCCGCAGAACTAGAATGTGAATCGAATGAACCTTATAGTTCTTAGGGTTGCACATATCGGCATTACATGTCTCATACATTGTGATAATGTGCACCTTACTTTTCAGTAACTACCATTGCAAAACTTGCCCCCTAAAGGAAAAAAGAAGAAGCAAGCTACAAGTTATTAGTGACATCCTTGCGCTTACCTCAGGAATTCTTGTATTGCAGCTCCCATGTGCCCTTTTTAAGAACTATCATCCTGAAGGTCTTTTTCTTCTTTTCATCCTGATGCTTTAAAACCCCTAAGCACCTGATACCAAGTAGGGTCATTTCCCGTGATATAGCATCAAAGATCTTTGATTTTGTTCGGATGTGACCTCTAATAGGGTTATATAGGATATATCTATTAATAAAAGCCTTTCTTTTCTGTTTGTGTGTTTGTCTGTATAATACAAATATATCTCGCTTGAAAGGAGAATAAATACTATTGTACTAGGCTCTGTTCTCTTGAATAGGTAGGCTGAGTACGGTAGGGAAGTTTTGTCTGCTTTATATATATATATATATACACACACACACTTATATAAAACTTATATTTGGTTTGTATGGGATACTATTAACATACGTAAAACTCACAATCTTTAGTCATTTTATTACATGGAACAGACAAATAACTATGTAACTCCGAACTTCTGAAATAGATTAGCAAGTTATGCTTTTTTGATTTTAAGCATTTTCAGCATTTTTCTTGTGGTGAATAGTCTAAAATATGAGCTGAGTCTTGGAAAGATAACCATGAAACTGCGCGTGCACACACAGACGACGCTCTAGCCTTATCAAAGGTGAAAAGCAAAAAAAATAAAAATAAAATGCTCTGAGGTATGTTGGAGTTTTAAGCGCGAAGCGCTGATTAGTGAAGAAAGATGGATATGTAGAAAAAAATAATTTGTTATTCAAGAATATTAACTATATAAACAGCCAGTAATTATATGCACAAAGAAATTGGATAAATCATAACTAAGTAAACAATTATTTTTTTGCTCCGTTCTTGAAGATGAAGCCTATGGATAATGAGCGGCACACCTTATTGCCATGGTGCATGAAGCAAAGTGTTGCCTAAATGAGACAAAGTGCTCTGCTTGTTACATGTAGTTTCGGGGCTTAAGCGCTTTTCAAGCGAGCCTTTGGCAACATTTGTCGTGCGTACACAAAAGAACGGTCAATAAATACAAAGATGTGGTTCTTTAGAGCTTTAATTTTTTTTGGTTTGTCATATTCATTTTTCTTTTGCATCTCGTATTGCATACTCTAATCTCTGAAGTCTTGAAAGATATCAAATAGGAAGAAATTACAACAAGAATAACAACAACAAACCCAGTGTAATCCCACAAGTGAGATCTGGGGAGGATAATGTGTATGCAGACCTTACCCTTACCTTGTGAAAGTAGAGAGTCTGTTTCCGATTGATTTTCGGCTCAAGAAACAGTGAAAACAAAGCAACAAACAATACCAACAACTAGGTAATAGAGTAACAAAAGCGAATGACATAACATGTAATAATTAAAGAATCAGGAATAAGAAAATACAAGAATAGTACTAGTACTAATGGTAAGACTAGGAGAAACTCACGACTACCTGATGACGAGCGCAAAACACAACACGAAGTTGATGACTTGATGCTCGCTAGCCAAAGATAGTATAGTTTAATTATCGTCTCCACATGGATTGGATTTAAACAGTGTTCGAATAATCTCTAGTTTATTGCTATTCAGGATGATTAAAACTTTGATTGGAATGATTATGAACTAAAATTAACTATTAAAACTAAAGCAATTAACAATTGATTACAGAGAGACAAAAGTAGAGCAACACAGAAATAATCAAAGGGAGAAATAAGAGTCGTGACAGGATAGGTGCAAGATAGTTATTCGGGATCTTACTATAGTTCGATTCACTCTAATAGTTTAATGTTCTAATGATTCTCACAAATTAACTCGATGATTAGTTCAATCATATAGCCAAGACTCCTCTCTCGATTAAATCTGAACTCTACGAGATGAACTAATATAAAGCACTGTGAAGGTATGCAATAAAACGTTAATGGTCTAGTCTTTAGGAAAACGTCTCTTGAATATTCTCTTAACTTGATTTAATTAACAATTCAACAAGCTCTTTCGATTACTTAAAAGAATCACTGAATTAAATCAAACGAAATAATGCAAAGATAATCCCCCAAAATATTCCTCTTTCGATTAAATAATTCGGTGAACGAAATTGCAATCAATTCAAAACTATATAAACAAATTCATGCAAAATAACTAGAGTTAAAATCCACAAATATCAATCAAAACACCATATCCGTCAATCCCTAAAGTAAACTACTCCATAATCATGGAGAAAGTCATCACAAATAGGGTTAAAGAATAAGAAAACATGAATTCAATCCAAACTCGTGGTTGAGTTGAGGAAAGAATGATGAATCCTTGTGCCTTAGAGTCTCCAATGCTCTCCCAATCTTCCGTAGGTCAAAAGTCCCTTAAAAAACATGTTTTTGGTGTATTTATACCATGTAAAAGCGGGTCCGGACGTAACTACCCTTTCTAAGCCGAAGTAGGAAAACACTATGACGAAATTACACGGCGCACGGCGCGGCGCCCCATGCACCGCACCAGTGGAGATATTCAGAGGCTCCGTTCGGATAGGCCAACTCCAACTGCACTGTCGCGCCGCGCCCCATGCGGCGCGATAGTGCAATTTTCTCAGAATAAATTATTCTTTCACTTTTTGGATATCCAGACTTGGTCCTCGACCCCCGAATACGATCCCAGTTCAATTCCTTGGGCTTTTACTCAGACTTCAAAGCTCCACATTGTTCGATTTAGCTCCAAATTATCTTTTTAACTCGGAATCATTTCCTTCAAGGCATAAAATATGTAATAAGTGCAAATCACCATCATTTAAGCTCAAACACAAGTAAATTGCAGTGGTTAGAGTGCTAAAATACGGGTTCCTAGCCTACCATTATCTGACAACCTTCAACCTTAATTCTCGACCTCCATACCTTCCTATCGAGGATCATGTCCTCGGTTAGCTGAAGCAATGACATGTCCTGCCAAATAGGAAGAAATTACTTGAGATAAATAAATGAGGACAAAGTTACATTTATTAGAAGTTTTGAGTATTTTATTATCATGTTAATATTAGTATTCTTTGGACATCACGTACAACTATTTGTAAGGGGGAGGTCTTGAGTTCGACGCTAAACAAGAGCAACATTTAGTTAATTTATATTGTTTCGTTATCAAATAGTTGCATGTGAGGAACTATCAATGAGAAAGTTTTTCCTGACTGTGGCAGGTTTTAATTGAGAATATTGAGGAATATGCACCCATAGTTTATACTCCTACAGTGGGTCTTGTTTGCCAGAAGTACAGTGGATTGTTTAGACGTCCGAGGGGCATGTACTTCAGTGCTGCAGATCGTGGGGAGATGATGTCTATGGTTTACAACTGGCCAGCTGATCAGGTTTGTGTATATGTGAACTCGCTCAATCTACGACAGACTTTCTTTGTTAGGGAGACATTTGCATATTGTTGTCTTTCCCACTGAATTAATGTGTCACTGATTAGTTACCTCCTTTTACCAATTATTTGTACTTCAATATCTTCCTTTATACACAAAAATTCTTATTGTTTAGAACTGTTGACTAAAAAGGGCTGAATAAGAAACTGTAGAGTAATTCCTTATCCAAAAAAAGAAGTAGGTAACTGTAGAGTAATTGCGCCAGTGGTCTGCAATTAGTCAGCAGTTCAATAGCTTCTTAGATAGAAGATTATGTCGAATTGATTAGATCAACAAAGCTATGCAGCACCTTAATTTGCTTTTGCATTATATCAGGTAAACATTTTATGTCAAATAGAAGTTTTTTCGTCTAAACATCCAGCACAAATGGAGAAAAATGAAGATCTTGTGGTACCTTACAAGAAAAATGAACATATGTACAGTCTCACTGCAATAATATCAATTTATCAATTGACTGATCCTTTAAACCCCCCACCACCCCTCAAAAAAGAAAAAAGAAGAAAAAAAGGGGAGAGAATAAATTCACTAGAGTGATAATTGGTCTTGTGAGATGGATAACTCTTTCTTTTGACTTTGATCTTGTTCACTAGAATAAATGATTCTACTGATTGGCCATAATATTTTAGTGATAAATTTTTTCATTTTTTTTCTTCTGACGGCAGTTATTCTATATATCAACATTCAACAATGAAAGTGTTTTTATAGCTGGAGTTTCAATGTAGGTTGACATGATTGTTGTAACTGATGGAAGTAGAATATTGGGTCTTGGAGATCTTGGAGTTCAGGGTATTGGTATTGCAATTGGGAAACTGGATCTGTATGTGGCTGCTGCTGGAATCAACCCCCAAAGAGTATATTCTTGCTCTATGTTGCTATTTCATATTGCATGATGAATCAGATGGCCTCCATGAAGTAAGCACAAAAATGATAAGACACCAAAAAGAAAAGTAAATTTAAATGAAGAGATGGAAAGAGGAAACAGATAAATTATCTAGTATCTCAAAAGATTTTTACTTTTTGAGAAGTTTGATTTTAACAAAGAATTGATGTAATTGTCAGTGATTGCAAGCACTTCTAGTGATTGCTTTAAAAAATGACTGAGAAAAAGAGATACCATGTCAAGCACTCTATAAATTTTCTGTTGTGGTTCTTTTATTCTTTTAAATTGAGGTCTTGTATTAGAGTTTTCTCTAGTTCTAGTGAATAGTTGTAGTCTTGTTGGGTTTCTTATAATAGAAACTACTTTTTAATTGATCAACTTATCTTCTGTCATTGCTGATATCAGGGTATGAGACATCAGATGTCTGTAATTCTTTATGATTTTTTTTCTCTTAATTCTCTTACAAGTTTTTATATTTGACTCTTGTCTTTAACATTCTTTTTAAATATACTGATTCCATCTTCTTCTGCTTCCAATAGGTATTGCCTGTAATGATAGATGTTGGAACTGACAATGAGAAACTTTTGAAAGACCCGTTATGTGAGTACTTATTCTTCATCACAGTTGATTATCATTCGCTACATCATTCATCAAGGATCAAATCACTACAAACCAATTGCTACTCTATATTTTCTTTAGTTTCTGGAAAGTGTCCTGCATATGTGTCTTATGTTTACCTGAATGAATTGTTGTATATCAACATAGTCAGTTGTTCTTTGATATCTTAAGTGAAGGCATGATGATACTGCTCATGGTAATGTGTGGTTAAATGGAGTTTTATGTTGCATGTACCTGGCATTTTGGGGTACAGTCCATGTGATATATGTGGTGGTACATGATCCATTCAGAATCTGATAAGAGGTACTCTTGACTTTGGCAAGAGGTTTCCAAACCTTTGATTGCTGATCATTACAAATGAATAAGCGGATGAGTAAGAAAGGATCTCTAATTTGACAAACTGCTGGAGTAAGCTTTTCCACTTAATATTTGCCTAATCCATGCAATATTGACCCTCTCTCCTAGCTTGATGTTGTTTGTGCTCCATTGGAAAAAAAAATAGAGAAGGATGCTGGTTTTTGAGGAGCAAGTGAACTCTAGGTTTCATATGGGTTGGTCTAGAAGATGAACAAAGGGCTGTATGGCTCGTTTTTCGCCCATTGGCTTGTACTCTTACTTTTCTGCTGATGCGCATGGCTACTTCCAAGGGGTGTAGTACTGATAAATATAAGTTGCACTTGTCGCTTCAGACTCACCTGTCTTAACAGGATTACTGATAATTGTCAGATGAGTGTTTGATCTGATGCTAAAACATATTTGAGATCATGCAGACATACAATTATTGGCTATAAAGCTGAATAATATAATATAAGTACATTTAATGGAGCTCCAGTATTCAGTGTATTTAAGAAGAACTTATAAAAATACAGGTGCATATGAACTTTGGCCAGAAGATGCTTAGCACTTGATCCATATCTACCCCAGCTAAAAATTTTGGTAATTGCTTGATAAGTGCACTTGCTCCTTGATACGTTCTCGTAAGTCCATGTATACATGTATGATTTAGTACTTATTACAACTTCCTCTGTTTCCATACTCTTTTAAGTTTATCTATATGATACTGTAGATAGTTGAAATTTCTTATTGCGACTATTATTTTCCTTGATATTGATGATTGCTGTCATGCTATGATTGATTACTTGCTCTCAGCATCTTGAGTTTGTTAGGAACATTTTTGATATATTGTTACTCCGTCATACTTTAGCTTGTTACCAGTAATGCCCATAAATTCAGGATATATGTCATTCATTTTCACTGAAGCTGAGGATATTCTTTTTCATGCCCACAGATTTGGGATTGCAAGAGCGTCGACTTGATGGAGAGGAGTATCTTGAAGTAATTGATGAATTTATGGAGGCTGTTTATACTCGTTGGCCCCATGTGATTGTGCAGGTACATTCCTTGGTCATTTGAGCTCTCGTCTTCATTCTCGTCACAAATATCATGTTATGTATGTAATGCCCTTTTAATTCACAGTTTGAAGATTTTCAAAGCAAGTGGGCCTTCAAGTTGTTGCAGCGTTATAGAAACAACTATAGAATGTTTAATGATGATGTCCAGGTAAATAACTTTATCAGTCATCGTAGAAGTATTTTAGTGTTTGGCAAAATAAGATTACAGTTGTAAATGAGTGTATAATTAAAAGCTCTTACCTCATTGATTGACATTCTTAGGATTAGGGTATTGTATTGAATTTAGCAAAAGTATAAACTGGTAAAAACATCAGTAAGACATTCAAGGCTTCTACATGTTTATGTGTCTGCAAACCTTAACGGGAGAAAAAAAAGAAAAAAGTATGTGGATTCACCCCATGGTGTCTCATGTTATTTGAGAGTGCACAAAGGCTACTCAAGAATTGTGATATTGCTTTACATGGCATTACTTCCCCAACCTTTTCTTGTGCTTGGGTGCTAGACTGAGGTGAAACTTCAGTGGTCAAGTCCCTATTGTTGTTGCACCCCTTACTCATACCCTCCTTGTTTGTTGAAATGGAAAAGCATAATACTTGACTGATCACTTGTGTTGTTGCACCTCTCCAGAGTAGTGAAAAGTGAACAGTGAAAAAGCACCAATATTTTTGGGAGCTCTAAGTTTACAGCGCAATTAAAGCGTGGGTTTTAGCAAAGAAGCGTCAAGGAAAAATAATAGAAATGTAATGCAAGAAAAGGTGACTATATACACAAAGAACATTTAATTGGACAAAAGAATGAAAACACTATAATTAAGCTACATATATGCGGTTAAAATCATGCCAATCAAGACCAATTTCTATTTTAAATTTGTAGGTCTTTGTTTGCTAGTTTTCTTATACTAAATCTCTAATTTCTTGTTCTTAATCAATAAAACTTTAATCATGACTTTTTCTTAGCAACTAATGAATCACATCGTAAACTATATTTATTGTCCACTGCTGGTTGCCAAGTCCTGCATTCACCAAGAGCATTTCTTCCTTAAGCATAAAACTTCAGACTGTAAGGCGTTTTCGCTATATAAGAAAAAAGTGGAATGGGATCTTGGAAATGATCGACTCACATAGATGTTCATCATAAGCCTTTCTTTTTTCCTCCTCCCCGTGTTCTATTAATCAGTAGCATCCAGCAACGCCAGGCCTCGTCCATGCCAGTAAAAAGAGTTATACTACTAAGCTAAGCTGTTCTGGGGAGCTCAGTAGATGAGCATGACCTAGAACCTTGATGCCTACACTAAATCTCCAACTAAGCCAGGTGAGACGCACGACGTGGGCTTTGGCGCGCGTTAGGGCTTAAGAGCACTTTAAGCTAGCCTTTAAGAACACTGGCCTCTTAGCCATACCCTTCTTGTTTGTTGAGATGGAAAAGCATAGTGCTTGACAAATCAACTATTTTCAAGAAAGGATAAGCATATCTTTTTATTCTTAGTATCTCTGAATATCTCACTTATCCCTACAATAGTATACAAGTACATTTCTGGGATAAGGTAAATAATTTTATTAATAATGGAAGAATCTCCCCTATCTGATCAGTATGCCAAAAAGTAGAGAACTTACAACATAATATGATTATCTATGAACGACACTTAATGTTCTATACAAACTGAAAATTCATGGGTGCTTGAGAAAGAAACTAGGAATGAGAGGATATTCCTCAAATATATAGTCTTTCTTTATCTCTTCAAAGCTCTTCTATTTCACTTTTTCCACAAGACTCACATGAGTGCTGTTACGCGACGCCTTCCTGATGTTCCTTGGAAGGGCGACGTAAGGCTAAGCAACCGATGTCAGTGCGATTGCTGTCCGCCAACTGAGGTCCCCTCCGTACGCTAGACTAGATTGTCAGTGCCGTATGGGAAAACCAATGTCGTGATCGATTGAAAGAGAGAGCAGAAAAGAGAATTGAGAATGAAAGAAAGCTTGATTGCATTGAATGAAAGCTATTACAGAAAAACAACACGGTGTCGGGGGGGAGAGACACCAGTACAGAGAATTATTTGCTTGCTTGAAAGTTTGATTGCTTAGTCCCCCTTAATAATGCTTAAAAAAAAAAAAAACCAAAGTTACATCACTAGGCCTATAAAAGCTGGAAAATCACACTTAAAGAAAATGCAGTAAAACTACTTTATATTTACAATGAAAAGGACATAGTCTTCTACAAAGCAGAAACAAGTCCGTTGGCATTAACTTTGTCTTTAGCATCAGGATCTGCGCGCGCGGCATTGTCTGCGCGCGCGGCGTTGTTGGCATCTGCCTGTGGCTGGGCGCTGGCGATGGCTATCGGTGGGGCGACAAAGGCACATG